AAACCGTTCAAGATGTATTACGTAACGAACTTAACTCATATATCGATAAACCACGATATATTCAAATTATTAAAAACTTCTGTAAATAATTGTTTGTGTTTCGCTGTTAAGTAAGGCTTATGGACACAAAGAACCCTTATTACGCCACACTACGCTGTTGAATATAAATCTATAATGATAGTAGCCCTGTTCTCGCCCCCTTGTTTGTTTATCTTTAAAAAAATTTAATTAGACGGTTTATCCATTCCACCATACTTTGCACTAACTCGACTAATTTAGAGTTTGTGTTTACAATTATACAAGGTTTAATTAGGGTTATGATGTATGAAATACATATGGGCTGATATGTCAAGACCTGTCATCAAAGACGATGTTAGTTGTATACATATTATAATTAGAAATGTCATGTAATATTTAACACTCGTTTTCCCACAGTTACACTAAAAAGTGTATATTTTTAACAATGCCCGTGGATAACTCTCTATCTGTCTCCCCCCCCCCACCTCCTCCATGTCTCCCACATCTCTAATCACTTGCTCTGTATAGTTTATCACATAATTATTTCATATGTTGTAATTACATATAGGCTATACTTAGAATACTATAGTATAAATAGGCGTAACCGAAGAAAAATGTGATAAGCATTATTCAGCTTTGTCTTCTGTTTTCGGAAACAGTTCTCTTGCTTACGGATCTAAGGTATGTTTTACCAAGCATATAATACTATAACAGTTATTTATATATACAAACAATAAAATAAAAGTTGTGTATAAACTGTAACTATGAAATAACAGTTTTTATAAAACCGCAAATATAAAAAAAAAAGTTGCGTAGTAAATGTAACTATGTTATAGCAACTGTGCATCAACTGTAGCTATAAAATAACAATTGTTTATACGCTGTAATTATGAAATAACTCCGCTGCGTCTACCCAGCTCTTATGGGTACCTGGCTTGCGTTAAGTAACTTAAGTCAGCTGAGCTTAGTGCTGACTACACTGTCCATTCATACGCCGAGCTCATTGAAACAAACTCTACTTCATAAGCCCCAATGACCGTCAGGTTCGAAAGGGTACTTGACTTACTTCGAAGTAACATAAGATTTACAAAATGAAACGAATGCTAAGGTTTTTTCAATCCCCCCTTCCCCTTTAATTTTAGACAATATTTTTAGCGTAATTAAATTTTATTACAGTTATCTTTCGACCAAAACCCATCTTACGAAAACCATCGACCAAAATCCGTCGAACGGTACACAACCATCATGAAAGTTTGCGTCGTTTTTGGTCTATCAATGTTGGTGGTTGTAGCACTAGCTGAACAAAATGAAACTGCAGTAAGTATTTCAACTATATATATATATATATATATATATATATATATATATATATATATATATATATATATATATATATATATATATATATATGTATATATATATATATATATATATATATATATATATATATTATATATATATATATATATATATATATATATATATATATATGAACATATATAACATATATATATATGAACATATATAACATATATATATAAAGATATAGAGATAAAAGAACTAGTCTGATTTCTAACAAGTTTTGTTTATGTATTCAGTAGCGTAGCGAGGGGGGGGGGGACAAATGTCCCCGGGCGCCGACCTTAGGGGGCGCCAAAATGTGTTGGAAAAATAAATTGAAAGGTTGAGGGATGGGGATGCAAATCGAAATCTTGACGGGTGGGGGGGGGGGGGGGTGCAAATCAAAAGTTTGAGAGGGGAAGCAAATCGAAATCCTGAGGGGTGGGGGTGCAAATCGAAATGTTTGTCCCCGGGCGCCGGGTAGGGTCGCTACGCCTCTGTATGTATTATAGCCTTTATCCGACAAAGATGCACGGGTAAGATGTTAATTACTTTTATGTTAAACATGTAAACTGTAAACCAAACTTTTATTTTAATATCGACTTATGAAAAAAATGATTTAAAAAAACATTATTTTACTATTTTAATTTTTTTTTTTCGAAAATCGGTTGCTTTATTTTTATAGAGACTGCCTGATAGGCCTACCTATCTAACGGTAAGTTAATTTTTTATTTATTTTGGTAATTTCTTTTGTCGATATGAAAACAAGGTAAAGTTTTCATTTATTTGTCTTTTTTTTTTTGCTTTCTCGTATATACGAAGTATAGAAAAATTCTTGTAATCGTGCAAAAAAAAATCGAGATTTTCACAAATCTCGACGTTTTACACCTCACTGATACGGAAAAACATAATTTTGCAATCTTGTCCGTATGTCTGTCTGTCTGTCTTTGTGTAAACACGATAACTTGAGTACCGTTACAGCTAGGTTGATGAAATTTCATATAAGTATTTTATCAAAATCGTTGATCCGTATCAATTTTTGAGCGATTTCCGATAAACGGAAGTGGTACTTTTTCTACTTTGAATTTTTTAAAAGCCTATAATTTGAGTACTATTTCGGATAGATCAATGAAATTTCACATGTAGGTAAATATCTAATTCTCTACTTTCTGTCAAATTGTGAGTAATTTCCGTTGACCGAAAGTACTAATTTACGCTATTTCCGATTTCTCAAAAACCGCATGTAAATTTAAAAAGTACTAATAATATTGCGCACTATTATGCACATTTTGTTTTGGCGTTCGCTTGGTGCGCAATTCTTTTTCTACGAGATTCTATTCTATTTTTAAAAGTTTAAGTAATTGAAAATCATGTCTATGTTCCGAGTTATATAAGAATATTCGAGAAAGTTTAGGGGAGATCACTCCCGGTTTATTTTTTGCTTTAATTTCCGTGTGTGTACATTTTTAGACTTAAAAACATTTTAAAAATTTTATTTTTAATCTAGGACACTGTGATAAATATAGCCTCTAGTTGGCTTGGATTATTGCCAGTAAGTTCATCGCATTTTTTATTTTAGTAGTGAATTGCTAATGCTCTTTTGATGTGCATGCAAAAAATTAGCCAGATATACAGAGGTTAAGTACCTTACAAATTGTGTCAAAATTACGCTGTTTTTTCCCATAAAATACCAAGATTATATAGGAAAATACGACTGGTCAGTTTTGACGACTTTACGAAGTTTTCCCAGATATGCCGAGTTTTTTTTTTTGACAACCCTAGGCGTTCTCCTACCAACCCCCACAAAATATTAAGGGGGGTCGTTTGGCAAAAAAAAAAATTCCGTAATAATCGAGTCAGTCGAAGTCAGTTTTGACCCCCTTTCCGGCCAACCGGCACCGACCCTCGTGTTCTATTGCCCCATGGCAGAATCCTGCCAAATTTGAAGCGCCTGTGGCGCCGGGAAGTGCTTTATATATATATATATATATATATATATATATATATATATATATATATATATATATATATATATATATATATATATATATATATATATATATATATATATATATATATATATATATATATATATATAGCCTATACTAGCGTACCCGTCCCGGCGTTGCCTCGGGGATCGAAGAAAGTCTGACGAATTATATAAGAAGGTTTCGTCAATGCGTTGCCAATCCTATGTTCTTAGACGCGTGACCTTGTTTTCTAAAACAGAGTTATTCAAATGTAAACAATGCCTGCGCTTGGATCATAAATATCGGGACACGGGTTTACCTACACAACCTCATGAAAACCTTGAGTGTACATTAATCACTCACCGAAATAATGAGGTAGAACACACTTCGGTGACCGCCCATGTGTCAGAGAAGTAGAGAGGCGCTCTCGGGAGCCCCCCACGATTACTGGCTACTTAAAATTAACATAGGCGCCAAGGTGCTCGCAGGATAACCCAGAGCGCCACTTAGTATCCTGAAACAATGATGCAGATTGTGTCATTCGCTAAAGTGACACAAATCAGCAGGATGTTTTCTTTAACACATAGGAAAAAATGTATTTCATGTCTTATAAACATCAGTGTTACTGATGTAATTTGTTAGTGTTACTAATGGTGCATTATTAGAAGCTCGATCTCAATTTCTGATTGGATCGTCTAAAAATAGATGCCAATAGCATCATTCGCAAAGTGACGAAACTGTTTGGATTTTTAATGGACAAAATGAAACAACCCAGTTAATAATCTATCTAACCTTGGTTAATGTATGTGATTATTTTTAAAAAATATATAACAGGGCCCTCGCCGGCTTATGTGAGCCTTTGGGGGCGGAAATTGAAAATTATTTTTTTCGCAGCCAAATCGCATCCTACCATGGCGCCGCCGGACACGCCTGATTCAAATTAGTGAGCGACTGTAACGTTCCATCTTATAAATTGTCTATCACACTGTTAAGAACATACGTAGTCGCCATAGCACTCACGGGAAAGAACAGGGCGCCAAATCGCATCCTGCCGGGCTGCCCGTGCGAAATTAACCCCCCCCCCCCAGAAACCTTCACGTGAGTATTCATTTACTCCCCAATATTGTATGGAACTCAGATAAACGATTTCAAACCGCTTTCGACTTTCATTTATTTTAATATATCCTATATAGAGATGAATCGCTTCCTCCTGGGGTGCCGCCCTTGCAAAATATTTTTTTACAGAAACCTCACCTGGAGTGTTCTAATCAACTCAACACAGTTTCATGGCGATCGGATGAATGGAGTCAAACCGAAATCGAAATCGACTTTTATTTTTTTTTATATACCGTATATAGAGAAAAAAAACAAATCGTACCCTACCGGGGCGCCACTCCTGCGAATTCGATTTTTTTTGCACAGAAACCTTTCCAGGAGTATTCTCAACATCTTCCATGAGTTTCATGGCAATCGTGTGAACGGTGTTAGTACATTTCACTTTTATTATTTTTATATACTGTATCTAGAGAAAAATCGCACGCTCCCTGTGGCGCCGCCCTTGCGAAATTAAAAAAGATTTTTCTTGAAGAACACTTCCATGTAGTGTTCTAATAAACTCCCTAAAGTTTGATGGCCATCGGATAAACAGTGTGTAACCGCAATCAACTTTTATTTTTATATACCGTCTATAGAGAGCAAATAAGTCGCGCCCTGTCGGGGCGCCACCCCTGCGAGTTTGAAAGATTTTTTTTCGCAGAAACCTCCACAGGAATATTCTCAACAACTTCCCAAAGTTTCACGGCGATGTGATAAGAGGTGTGGTAATGCATAAAAGACACACACACACACACACACAGACACACATACATTGCTTATATATATATATATATATATATATATATATATATATATATATATATATATATTTATATATATATACATATATATAGGTATGTGTGTGTGTATACATAATATGGTGAAAGGACAAAATTATGATCTCAGGACAAATAATCCCAAGACAAATGATCTCACGGACAAAAGATAACAGGACAAAATATATTAGGACAATTTTTACCATGGACAAATGACGTCAGACAAACTATCTCACAGCAAAATTTTAATAGTATGTACGATGATTTCAGTTGATTTGAACTTTTTTTTTACTGTCAATATGGTTTTGTTTACTTTTTTTTACGCATAATAATTTTGAATTAAAAGTATTTGTTAAACTTACCAAAGCATCGCATCAAAGATTTATTAAACTTAATCATTGTAATAAAATTTGATTTGAAAAAGTAAACATTTTTTTTTAATTGTTTTTCTTTTTGATTAGCAATCTAGGGGACCCTTCGGAATGGTATGTTTTTAATTTTTTTTACACTGATAATCTTTTTTTTAAATATAGTTTGTATTGTGTGAGTGATTATTTTAATTTTTAAGTCATAGTAACTTTTCCTGTTTATAACTTGAAACATAACAATGCAACTATAAAAACTGTGTTGACTTTTTTTCTTACTTCTTTTTAAATTCCGTGTAATCTAGGACGATATGAAGAGCAAGTCTACTGGTCTTGTAAGTTGCTTTTATTGTTCCAAATAAATTTTAACAATTTATTTTATAAGGCTTGAAAAAAAAATACAAATATTATGCTACACTTATTTTACCATACATGTGTAGAACTTATTATTATAATTTATTTTTAATCTTAAGCACATTCTGATCGCTATGAAAGTATTTTCAAACTTTTAATCGCATTCTAAGCAAAATCACTTTAAAAAAACAAAATTCGAAATAAATATTGAAACACATTTAGAAAAAAGAGAGATATTTTAATATTATTGAGAAACAATTACGCTTTAAATGTTAATGTTTGAAACGTCCGATATGTGAGTTTGTTTTTATAGGTGGTGGGGGAGGCAGAGGTAGATAAAAAGAGAGTTAGGTAGTTGTGGGTGGGTAAGATGTGGGTGGGGTGGTTGAGTGGGGTAGTTGAGGGTAGTTGATGGCAGTTGGGGTAGTTGATGGCAGTGGGGTAGTTGAGGTTGGGGTACTTGAAGGTAGAGTATTTGAGGGTGGGGTGGTTGAGGGTGGGGTTTTGGTGGCTGGGGTATTTGAAGGTTAGGTAGCTGAGGGTGGTTAAAGAAAAAAAAGTAAAAATATTTAGAGAGTGTGAGGAGAAGTCTGATTGCCAAAGCCGTTACATCAATCACAAACTTGCATGTTTTCATTTTTTTAAACTGTCGTAAATTTGACTTAGGCTGTAAAGAGTCTAGACCCCGTATTGAAAAGTCAAGACTTGATTGATATTGCCAAGTTTGTCACCAATAATTTTTGGGTAGGTTAAAATGTCTCACTGCTAAATTTATTATATATATATATATATAAATATAAATATAAATATATATATATATATATATATATATATATATATATATATATATATATATATATATATATATATGTATATTACATATTATATATATGTATATATATATATATATATATATATATATATATATATATATATATATATATATATATATATATGAACATATATATATATAAAGATATATATATATATATATAGATATATATATATATATATATATATATATATATATATATATATATATATATATATATATATATATATATATATATATATATGAACATATATATATATATAAAGATATAGAGATAAAAGAACTAGTCTGATTTCTAACAAGTTTTGTTTATGTATTCAGTAGCGTAGCGAGGGGGGGGGGCGGGGGGGGGACAAATTTCCCCGGGCGCCGACCTTAGGGGGCTTCAAAATGTGTTGGAAAAATAAATTGAAAGGTTGAGGGATGGGGATGCAAATCGAAATCTTGACGGGTGGGGGGGGGGGGTGCAAATCGAAATCTTGAGGGGTGGGGGTGCAAATCGAAAAGTTTGTCCCCGGGCGCTGGGTAGGTTCGCTACGCCTCTGTATGTATTATAGCCTTTATCCGACAAAGATGCACGGGTAAGATTTCAATTACTTTTATGTAAAACATGTAAACTGTAAACCAAACTTTTATTTTAATATCGACTTATGAAAAAATGATTTTAAAAAACATTATTTTACTATTTTAATTTTTTTTTTCGAAAATCGGTTGCTTTATTTTCATAGAGACTACCTGATACCTATCTAACGGTAAGTTAATTTTTTATTTTATTTATTTATTTTTATTTTTTATTTTTTACGAGATTCTACTCTATTTTTAAAAGTTTAAGTAATTGAAAATCATGTCTAAGGTCCGAGTTATATAAGAATATTCGAGAAAGTTTAGGGGAGATCACTCCCGGTTAATTTATTTTTTTCTTTAATTTCCGTGTGTGTACATTTTTAGACTTAAAGACATTTTAAAAATTTTATTTTTAATCTAGGACGCTGTGATAAATATAGCCTCTAGTTTGTTTGGATTATTGCCAGTAAGTTCATCGCATTTTTTATTTTAGTAGTGAATTGCTAATGCTCTTTAGAGGTGCATGCAAAAAATTAGCCAGATATACAGAGGTTAAGTACCTTACAAATTGTGTCAAAATTACGCTGTTTTTTCCCATAAAATACCAAGATTATATAGGAAAATACGACTGGTCAGTTTTGACGACTTTACGAAGTTTTCCCAGATATGCCGAGTTTTTTTTTTTGACAACCCTAGGCGTTCTCCTACCAACCCCCACAAAATATTAAGGGGGGTCGTTTGGCAAAAAAAAATTTCCGTAACAATCGAGTCAGTCGAAGTCAGTTTTAACCCCCTTTCCGGCCAACCGGCACCGACCCTCGTGTTCTATTGCCCCATGGCAGGAGCCTGCCAAATTTGAAGCGCCTGTGGCGCCGGGAAGTGCTTTATATATATATATATATATATATATATATATATATATATATATATATATATATATATATATATATATATATATATATATATATATATATATATATATATATATAGCCTATACTAGCGTACCCGTCCCGGCGTTGCCTCGGGGATCGAAGAAAGTCTGACGAATTATATAAGAAGGTTTCGTCAATGCGTTGCCAATCCTATGTTCTTAGACGCGTGACCTTGTTTTCTAAAACAGAGTTATTCAAATGTAAACAATGCCTGCGCTTGGATCATAAATATCGGGACACGGGTTTACCTACACTACCTCATGAAAACCTTGAGTGTACATTAATCACTCACCGAAATAATGAGGTAGAACACACTTCGGTGACCGCCCATGTGTCAGAGAAGTAGAGAGGCGCTCTCGGGAGCCCCCCACGATTACTGGCTACTTAAAATTAACATAGGCGCCAAGGTGCTCGCAGCATAACCCAGAGCGCCACTTAGTATCCTGAAACAATGATGCAGATTGTGTCATTCGCTAAAGTGACACAAATCAGCAGGATGTTTTCTTTAACACATAGGAAAAAAATTATTTCATGTCTTATAAACATCAGTGTTACTGATGTAATTTGTTAGTGTTACTAATGGTGCATTATTAGAAGCTCGATCTCAATTTCTGATTGGATCGTCTAAAAATAGATGCCAATAGCATCATTCGCAAAGTGACGAAACTGTTTGGATTTTTTATGGACAAAATGAAACAACCCAGTTAATAATCTATCTAACCTTGGTTAATGCATGTGATTATTTTTAAAAAATATACAACAGGGCCCTCACCGGCTTATGTGAGCCTTTGGGGGCGGAAATTGAAAATTATTTTTTTCGCAGCCAAATCGCATCCTACCATGGCGCCGGCGGACACGCCTGATTCAGATTAGTGAGCGACTGTAACGTTCCATCTTATCCATTGTCTATCACACTGTTAAGAACAAACGTAGTCGCCATAGCACTCACGGGAAAGAACAGGGCGCCAAATCGCATCCTGCCGGGCTGCCCGTGCGAAATTAAATCCCCCCCCCCCAGAAACCTTCACGGGAATATTCATTTACTCCCCAAAATTGTATGGAACTCAGATAAACGATTTCAAACCGCTTTCGACTTTTTTTTATTTTAATATATCCTATATAGAGATGAATCGCTTCCTCCTGGGGTGCCGCCCTTGCAAAATATTTTTTTACAGAAACCTCACCTGGAGTGTTCTAATCAACTCAACATAGTTTCATGGCGATCGGATGAATGGAGTCAAACCGAAATCGAAATCGACTTTTATTTTTTTTATATACCGTATATAGAGAAAACAAATCGTGCCCTACCGGGGCGCCACTCCTGCGAATTCGATTTTTTTTTGCACAGAAACCTTTCCAGGAGTATTCTCAACATCTTCCATGAGTTTCATGGCAATCATGTGAACGGTGTTAGTACATTTCACTTTTATTATTTTTATATACTGTATCTAGAGAAAAATCGCACCCTTCCGTGGCGCCGCCTTTGCGAAATTAAAAAAGATTTTTCTTGCAGAACCCTTCCAGGTAGTGTTCTAATAAACTCCCTAAAGTTTGATGGCCATCGGATAAACAGTGTGTAACCGCAATCAACTTTTATTTTTATATACCGTCTATAGAGAGCAAATAAGTCGCGCCCTGTCGGGGCGCCACCCCTGCGAGTTTAAAAGATTTTTTTTCGCAGAAACCTCCACAGGAATATTCTCAACAACTTCCCAAAGTTTCACGGCGATGTGATAAGAGGTGTGGTAATGCATAAAAGGCACACACACACACACAGAGACACACATACATTGCTTTTATATATATATATATATATATATATATATATATATATATATATACATATATGTGTGTGTGTGTGTGTGTACATAATATGGTGAAAGGACAAAATTATGATCTCAGGACAAATGATCCCAAGACAAATGATCTTACGGACAAAAGATAACAGGACAAAATATATTAGGACAATTTATACCATGGACAAATGACGTCAGACAAACTATCTCACAGCAAAATTTTAATAGTATGTACGATGATTTCAGTTGATTTGAACTTTTTTTTTACTGTCAATATGGTTTTGTTTACTTTTTTTTACGCATAATAATTTTGAATTAAAAGTATTTGTTAAACTTACCAAAGCATCGCATCAAAGATTTATTAAACTTAATCATTGTAATAAAATTTGATTTGAAAAAGTAAACATTTTTTTTTTAATTGTTTTTCTTTTTGATTAGCAATCTAGGGGACCCTTCGGAATGGTATGTTTTTAATTTTTTTTACACTGATAATCTTTTTTTTAAATATAGTTTGTATTGTGTGAGTGATTATTTTAAATTTTAAGTCATAGTAACTTTTCCTGTTTATAACTTGAAACATAACAATGCAACTATAAAAACTGTGTTGAATTTTTTTCTTACTTCTTTTTAAATTCCGTGTAATCTAGGACGATATGAAGAGCAAGTCTACTGGTCTTGTAAGTTGCTTTTATTGTTCCAAATAAATTTTAACAATTTATTTTATAAGGCTTGAAAAAAAATACAAATATTATGCTACCCTTATTTTACCATACATGTGTAGAACTTATTATTATAATTTATTTTTAATCTTAAGCACATTCTGATCGCTATGAAAGTATTTTCAAACTTTTAATCGCATTCTAAGCAAAATCACTTTAAAAAAACAAAATTCGAAATAAATATTGAAACACATTTTGAAAAAATAGAGATATTTTAATATTATTGAGAAACAATTACGCTTTAAATGTTAATGTTTGAAATGTATTATTATTACCTAGAGCTCTCAACTAAACTATGTCAGTGGAACTTTTGGAAAAAAATCAGTAAGTTCTTACATTCTTTTTAGGACACTTTAATAATTGACCGTTAACAACTAAATTTGGATTGTCCTATTAACTACCTAAAATACGAAATTATTTTAAAACGTAGTCGTAAAGAAAAAATTCTGAAATTAAAATTCACAATATTATTTTTTCATTGTTAATGTCACATTCTCGTAAGCTATAACCTTTCAAAATTCTTTTTAACAATGCGCTGATTTAGCAGAGTATTTGCATATATGACTTTCACTTTGATATGAGCAATAGGAATAATTCGATGCTACCTATTTTTCAACATTTAATTGTTGGTAATTATGAATTTAAAGGTACGCATAGCCTTTGACATCACAATTAATTAACTGGTAAATAACATTTAATAATTTTTTAAATAAAAATATTACAACTTATGTTGTTGTTTTTTATTTCAGAATGCAGCAAATAAGGAAGAGCATGTATGTTGGAAGCAGCTTTTTATTTTTATTTTTGAAGAGTACTTTAACAACAAGTTACTTTAAATATTATATTATATTTTTTAATTCAATTATTCATAATATACTATTAAATCATATATTATTTCTAACTCATTTTACGCAAATAAATATCAAACTTTTAAGATCACACCGATAATTTTGACTTTTTATATTAAAAGTACATCTTTCCGTTTTTTAGAAACCATTAGACCCAGTTGGATATGTAAGTTTTTATTAAAAGTATTTGCTATGATTAAATTATTTGGTTCGAAAGTTACAGTAATCCGTTTTCTTATATTGTCTTGTCTATTACTAGCAATTATTTAACTATAAAGAAGATTGTTATAAAAAAATGTCACAAGTAACAATATTGATTACTTATATCAAGTTACAGAAAATAATTAGAAGGGTTATTTTACTTCGTGTTGTGTTATTTGATATTCTGGCTTAATTCCGTGGTTTTTTTTCAAAGTGTCTTTTGTAAAACTAAAGACAAAATATTTGCATTTTGTAATAGAGATCTCTTGTATTATAATTATATTAAAATTTTAATTCGGTAGATATCTAATTTAAAATTTGCTAATAATCGTGCTATTCTATCCTTTTTTAAATATAATCAACGTAGAACTCATTACGAGATGTGAACGACAGAGCACAAGATGAAGCGCCTCCTGTAAGTTTTAAACATTTCTATTGAGGAAAAGTTTCCGATAAAAAACGTTTTTATTTTGAATGTGCATAATAGTGCGCAATATTATTAGTACTTTATAAATTAACATGCGTTTTTTTTTAGAAATCGGAAATAGCGTAAATTAGTAATTCCGGTCAACGGAAATTACTCAAAATTTGAAAGAAGGTAGAGAATTAGATCTTTTACTTACTTGTGAAATTTCATTTATCTATTTGAAATAGTACTCAAGTTATAGGCTTTTTAAAAATTCAAAGTAGAAAAAGTACCACTTCCGGTTATCGGAAATCACTCTACGATTTTGATACTTATGTATGAAATTTCATCCCCCTAGTTGTAACGGTACTCAAGTTATCGTGTTTACACACAGACAGACACACACACACACAGACACACAGACATACGGACAAGAATGCGAAATTACGTGAGGTGTAAAACGTCGAGATTTGTGAAAATCTCGATTTTTTTTTTGCACGATTACAAGACTTTCTCTATACTTCGTATATACAAGAAAGTAATAAAAATTGCTCATTAAACATTTAAAACTATTAATATAAATGTATCCACATTTAAATTATGGCGCGATATATCCTACATTTCAGAATTACTATGGCAATTTTTAAACACATTAACTGATTACTTAGATTAAAGTTTGTGAAATCAATTTTTGGTTAATTAAAAAATATTTCCCTTTATAAAAGGACATAGGCCTTCTGCCCAACGTGTCAAGTGGGTAAAAAGAAGGCAACTCGTTACGTTATCAACATCATTTTTAGACGAAATATCTTTTTATAAGAAGGCAACTCGTTACGTTATCAACATCATTTTAGACGAAATATCTTTTTATAAGAAGGCAACTCGTTACGTTATCAACATCATTTTAGACGAAATATCTTTTTATAAGAAGGCAACTCGTTACGTTATCAACATCATTTTTAAACAAAATATCTTTTTATATACTATAAAAGTATAATACACCAAGCTAAACTTAACCCAATGCTTTTATCGTTTATCCCATTCATGAATAAGCAAACAAGACAGAAATATTTCACACATTGTATTTTTTTTTTACTTTCTCGTATGCGAAGTATAGACGAAGTATTGTAATCGCGCAAAAACTCCCTGAGTCGGAAAAACTCAGTTTTGCAATTTTGTCATTATGTCTGTGTGTGTGTATGTGTGTGTATGTGTGTGTGTGTATGTGTATGTCTGTAAACACGATATCTCGAGTACCGTTAAAGCTAGGATGATGAAATTTCATATATAAGTATTATATCAAATTAGTAGTTCTGTATCAACTTTTCAGCGATTTCCGGTAACCGAAAGTGGAACTTATTCTACTTTTGGTTTTTCAAAAGCCTATAACTTGAGTACTTTTTCAGATAGATAAACGAAATTTCACAAATAAGTAAAAAGATCTAATTTGCTGCCCTCTTTCAAATTTTTAATAGTTTCCGTTGACAGGAAGTAGAAATTTACGCTATTTCCGATTTCTCAAAAAACTAATATGAATTTATAAAATACTAATATTCCGCACTTTTATACACATATTGTTTGCTGTTCACTTTGTGCGCAATTATTATTTTTTACTAAATTATATTGTATTTTAAAAATTTAAAAATCTGGTCTATATCCTGAGTTGCCATCCCCGTAGTGTTATATAAGAATATTCGAGAAAGCTTAGGGGAGATGACTCCAGCTTTTTTTTTTTTTTTAATTTCCGAAAAACAAACCAACTAAAGGCCTGCCAATTGTAATCGTTTTTCTAACAACTTTAGTCACGTTTTTAGTTTGATACTATTTTTAAATTATTTTAAATTATAAAATTATCAATCAGTGATGGTCCACGTCCTTGGGAACAAAAGGGAAAATATAATGACAATGTGGATGTTGTGTAATCCAAGTAAAAGATAACTCATATTTCATTTTGATAAAGGGAGGTGATAACATTTTGTGGCTGTAGTTTGTTGTTGAGGGCAGATAACATCAGGTTACATAATTAAAATCAGCTTTTGTTGTATCTCTACAGTTCACGCTATCCAACAGGACAATCCTCTTACTCATGGGACAATTTGTAAGCTTTGAATTTAAATTATAGCGTACATTACAATTTATCAATAACTTTCTATTGACCACGGATCATATTTTTAGTTGGGGAAAACGTAAATTGTACATTAGAAATTATTATCTTGCAGTGTTACGTTTAGATGTTGTTTTCAGAGATGGAGGAGGGGGGATCGGCATGTGAAAATTGTGGTGAGCGGACTAAATTTTCATTGGGGGTAGGGCGGACAATGGTAAAAGTATATATTTTCTCCATAAATTCTATTTTGTTCGGGTACTGGTAGGCGAGGTGATGCCTGGAACACCTCTAATATTATTATATACCATTTAATGACAGCTTTTGAGTTTGTTTTTGAAAATAGTAATTTACAGATTACAGAACAAAATTTTTATATGAAAATCGGTAACTTTAAAAGCAGTGTTTCTTCCAGACTTTTTTCTCCGGGGGGGCACTTGAAATCTTCGGGGGGGGGGGGGGCGGTAAACCTTCTTCGGGGGGGCGGACACTGTTAAAAGTATATATTTTCTATATAAATTATATAAATTTCATTTCGTTCGGGGGGGCGGTAAAAATTTTTCGGGGGGGCTTCGCCCCCCCGAAGAGATGCCTGGAAGAAACTCTGTTTAAAAGTTAGTCTTCGAATTTTTGTAAATATTTACTTTATTTCATTAAGATTAAATGGGTGCGTGTGTTTTTATTAAAGTAAAATACCTATGTGCATGTTATAAACATCTAATCTTTGAAAATAATTAATTTTTTGTTTGTTCTAAAGGCCTATCAAATGTCGATACCCGTAGATAGACTGAGAGTAAAGTTGGCACACGTCAAAACTGTGAGTTTGTTATTGTAGGTGTTGGGGGAGGCAGAGGTGAATAAAGTGGCAAGTTGTGGGTCGGGTAGTTGAGTTTCAGACAGTTAAGGGCGGGGTTGTAGTGGATGGGGTATTTCAGTGTCAGGTCGTTGATGGTGGTAAAAGAAAAAAAAGAAAACATTTAGAGAGTGTTAGGAAAAGTCTGAATGCCAAAGTTCTTCAATCACAAACTTGTATATTTCCATTTGTAAATTCGACTTAGGCTGTCACGACTCTAGTCTCTGAATTCAAATTTCCAGACTTTCTTGCTTTTGCCAAGGGATTCACCAGCAATTGGGGGGTAGGTTATATATATATATATATATATATATATATATATATATATATATATATATATATATATATATATATATGACATTTATACGTGTATATATAACATATATATATATATATATATATATATATATATATATATATATATATATATATATATATATATATATATAAATGCATATAACATAAATAACTTATCTGTGAATATATAAGGGCTAATATAATATGTGTACTTATTCAATAACGTATTTTGTTAATATGGTTCCATGACAAATGATCTCAGGACAAATGACCTCACGGACTAAAGATATCAGGACAAAATATATCAGGACATAATATCAGGACAAATGATACCATGGACAATTAATCTAAAGAAAAAATATCTCAGACAAAATATCTCACGGTAATATGTTATAGTATTTGAGATTATTTTAGTCTATTTTAACATTTAAAAAAATAGACTGTCTTAAGGATTTTACTTACATTTTTTACACATAATATTAATAACTGAGGGAAAAGGTTTGTCGCAAAGGTTTGTCACATTACATATTATAATTACAATTAGAAATATAATATTAGTAGATTCAAACTAAGTTACGCTAGACAGTGTAGGTGGGCGAAACTAGTTCAAATGGGGTTTTTTATCTATTGATGGAAATGCTATGAAAACACACCTACGTAGCAAGGTGGCCGCTTGCTTTGTTAGCGGACAGGTCCTGAGGGGGAAGACTTCCGCCTACCGTGGACAGTACAACCAGCATCTAAAGTAAATTGTTATATTTCGGTCACACCTTAGTGATCAGTTGTTTAACGACAGCGGTCATTGCGGAGCTAAGATATTCATAGTGTGCATGCAAACTAAGCACTATCAGTGCTGATTGCTCAGCTGCGGCCTCTTTCTTTACATCGAAGATGGCATAGGCACTTTTTTTTTAAAGTCAGATTTACGCTGTTTGATCAACAGCCAGCGTTGACGATGCAATAAAAAACACGAATTTCATATTACGAACCTGTAGACCCAAACTTCCCTTTTGTAAACTAATTCACGTGTTTCGACATTAATTTGGTAAATTTACAGCTTAATCATTTTATTTGTCTTGCATTTTTATGTCTAATACTTTCATATAAATTCCTTTTTTTTTAAAGTGTTTACTCAGTCTTTGTAAGGTTTGTTTATTAAGTTTAAGTCATTCATGTAGTATCTCACAATAATTACGTCTAAAACAGATATATCCTTATGACATTAAAAAAATTAAAATCGACTAAAGTAATCCTAAATACTATAAATATTTTACTGTGAGATATTTTGTCTGAGATCATTTGTCCATGGGATAGTTTGTCCTGATATATTTTGTCCTGGTATCTTTTGTCCGTGAGATAATTTGTCCTGAGATCATTTGTCCGTGAGATATTTTGTCTTGGATATTTTGTCTCAGATCATTTGTTCTGATATCATGTGTCCTGTCTCCGTTAATAAATATTTGAATACTTTCAGTGTGAACGCTTCATACCAAATATTATACCTAAAGCTACTTTCAAAGTGAGTTCTCCTTTCTTACTCCAGGTTTTTAGCCAAATCCAAAATTTTCTTTTTATATCTTCTTTAAAAGCCAAAACGTTGTCAAATTACTTCCGGAAAATGTTTCGAGTTTGAAATGATGACTTATTATTTTTCAGAATATACAAACTCCAACGTACTTACTTTTTAGCGCAATTTCCATACTGACAATTGCGATTATTAACTCGTTATTTCTGGATGGATGTGTATCCGCAGCTTTAAGTCGTATCTCCTCCTCAACGAAGCAATATCGAGGACTAGTTCCAAAAGCAAATATGTTAAGCAAGTTCCGAGGATGATTGTGGGCCAAAAAAATTCCCGGAATTCCTTCCTGGATTTCCCGGAAAAGCCAAAAAACCTCGAAAAAATGCAGTTTTTTTTTTTTAATTAAAAGATGTAACCATTCGAAGGATTCAAAAAACTGTAACTCGACAAATAACAACTAAATGTGATAAAAGATTTTTGAAAATATTTTTCTTTAATCCACTGTGTAATTTTTGTTTGAAATACCTTTTTAATACATTGTATTTATTTTCAAGTGTCTTTGTGATTTTTTTTTTGTGTTTAAAAATGTCCAGATTGAAAAGTGTGTCCAGTATATGGCTGATGTCGTCAACTTTAAAACCTGCCCTCCATCTGTGAGTACTGTTTTCTACAGGGGTTAGTGGGGTCCGGGGGTTAGTGGGGTTGAGGCGTGTGAGGTATGTAATTCTCCCCCCCCCCCCTCTTCAAGCAACAACCGAGGACTGGGGTAAAAAAATGTGAAACAGTGGCATTCATTACACGTTGCTGTAGGCCCAGGTGTGGTCTTGCAGTAGGGCGCTAGACTGCTAACCCGAATATCTCGAGTTCGAATCAGGGTTCAAGTAATCAGGGTTCAAGTCAATAGAATGTCCCTGAGTGTACTCAGCTCTAATGGATACCTAACTCAGGTTAGGAAAAGTAAAGGTGGCTAAGCATAGTGCTGATCACACTATACCTTCATATGCCCAGGTCACCGAAACAGGCGAACTCTACTTCACCTGCCCATGAACATTTTATTCTGATTTCAAACCAGACGAGTCTCGATAGCTGGAGAGAGTAACTTGTTTATGCAAGAAAATTAAGTCAAACTTCTTAAGGCGATAAAATTACCAGCTTAGGTTTCCGTTTGGAAGATCATGCGAAACAGATGATGCCGCTGGGTGGAGAGAATTGGCCAGATACACGGGCAACAAAACCACCCTTCGCGAGTGGCTACCCATGCGCTGAGGAAATCAGGGCTGAGTCGTCCAATTGTTAATTAGTCTATAGGCGTCAATTCAGTATCGTATGCAGGGGGGAAGGGTGACATCTGGGTCAGTTATAAAAGTTTCAGAATACTTTTTAATGTTAGGCCTAAAGATTTCTAAAAAGCATGTATTATATGAGACGTTTTTTTTATAAGGGGACAGGAGAAAGGGGGGGGGGGAGATTAGTACAAGGTTGGAAGCGTATAGGTAGTAATCTGTCTAGTCATAACAAGCATAGTGTAGTCTATTAGGTCACCATCACTGAGGACATTATATGGCCGAAGTATCAGTCCATAGTAATAATGCTTTAGTTGAATTACAGTATTTTTATGTGCAATAATTTGATTCCAGTGTTTTATAGCTTTCTATGCGATAGTTAAATTCCAGTATTTTTATGTGCGGAGTTAAATTCCTGTATTTTTATGTGCGAAGTTAAATTCCAGAATTTTTATAGCGTTCTATGCGAAAGTTAAACACCAGTATTTATATAGCGGTTGAAGCAATAATTAAACTCCAGTATTTTATAGCATTCTGTGCCATAGCTAATATTTTTATAGCGTTTTGGGCCAGCTGCGCCCAGCATGTCAATACAGTGAGCTATAAAGACTTTATCACAGGCAAATAGAAATAAAACGCCCAAGTTTTGTTGAGTAATGGCACTGCTAAAGTGTGAAGGGATAAAACAGCTGGAATCTCTCATGTCGCTGGGTAATTTTTTTCTTCTCTTACAGGAGGCTGGCGAAGAGGAAAATCAAGAGGAGGAAGCTGTGGTATAATATGTTTAACTACATTGCAATTACTGTTTGTGGGCGTGTCTATAAGTCGTTATATTGAGGAGATGGGCGTGTCTATCTCTCTATGTTGTAGAGATGGGCGTGTCTCTATTTTATGGAGATGGACGTGTCCCTGTCTCTATGTTATGGAGATGGGCGTATCTCTATGTTATGGAGATGGGTGTGTCTAGAAGTCGTAATGTTAAGGAGATGAGCGTGTCTCTATGTAGTAATGTTGTAGAGATGGGCGTGTTTTTTATGTCTATTTGTTACGGTGAAGTGTTTGTCTTTATGTCTTAATGTCTCTATGGTATGAAGATAGGCATGTCTATAGTCGCTATGGTGTTGAAACGGGTGTGTCAATATGTCTCTACATTGCCATCTATAACCCTCATTACCATCTTATCCTAATTATTTCCCGTTTTGTTTTAATTAAACTTTCCCCACTTCAAAATAAATTTTAATAATGTTTATCAAATAACCACACATTTTACAATACGTATAGCTCCGACATGACTTCTAAACAAAAACTAACCGTATCTTTGTCGGCCGATTTGCATTAAATTTAAGATAAACTTAATATTTGAGAACATTCAATTTTTGCGTTTACTTGTGTACAATTTTCTTTAGGATATTAAAGAGGACCCAACCGACGTAAACGAGGCAGCGGTAAGTCCTTTCTTTGACATTGTGGCTTACAGTTTAGCTGTAGTAGATTAAATATACTTCGTACTTTAGTAAGAGATAAACCTCTAGATAATTATGGTCTCTACTAGTGAAAAACTTTGACAATGAAAGTAGTGGCTTACAGTTTAGCTGTAGTAGATTAAACATACTTGGTACTTTAGTAAGAGATAAACCTCTAGATAATTATGGTCTCTACTAGTGAAAAACCTCTAGATAATTATGGTCTCTACTAGTGAAAAACCTCTAGATAATTATGGTCTTTACTAGTGTAAAACCTCTAGATAATTATGGCTTCTATAAGTGAAAACATTTTTCAGAAAACCTGGCACGACGTTCCCCAGTTTTCTTACATGAAAAGCATGCTAAATCTGGGCAAGAAGTTTTTGGATAGAGTCGACGTATGTATTTCTTAAATGTACACTTTATGTTAAATCAGTATCATGGTTTTAATTCAATATAATGCGAGAAATAGTTCAATATCAGTATATACATTTGAAGAGTATTGATGTATGGGGTCGTCCATAAATGACGTCACATTCATAGGGGGAAGGGTGGGCCGTAATTTTGTGACAGTGTGTGATGAGGGGGAGGGGGGGGGGTCAGATGGTCTGACGTCACACTTTTGAGTTGTAAAAAAAGCGTTTTATAAAACTGTTTTAATAAATTGTAATAACAATTGATCAAAATACTCTATTTTGACAGAGTTCAGACAAGATTTTGGAAAAATATAGCTGTTTAAAAAAATTCAACTGCAATTTGGGGGGCGGGGGGGGGGGTTGTAGGCTGAGGTGTGAGGTCATTTTAGGGGGGGGTCTGGCTTTTTGTGACGACATGTGACGGAGGGGAGGAGGTAAAAATCATCAAAAAAGCGTGACGTCATTTATGGATGACCCCTATCTCAAAATCATGTCTCACCTATCAGGATAGTCCTTATAATGAAGTCACACTGGCAGTGGGGAATAAGTCCGTAAACTTGTGACAATGTGTGATGAGGGGGAGGGGGTACAGATAGTGAGATGTCACACAGAATAAAAATGAAACTAATTTCGCGTTTCAGAAACCTGTTTTAATAAACTGTAATAGAAATTGATTAAAATGCTTTATGTTCACCGAGCTCAGTCGAGAGTTTTGAAAAAAAAATCAATGTTTTAAGAAAAATGCAACAGCAATTTTGAGGGATGGGGGGATGTAGGCTGAGGTGTGACGTCTAGCTTTTTGTAACGATGGGTGACGGAGAGGAGGGGGGGGGTAAAAATCGTCCAAAAAAGAGTGACGTCATTTATGGATGACACCCTAATGGATTATAAAGTTTATTGCTGTGTTGGTTAACTGCACACATCATATTCTTTGTTATCTTAAACGTGATGTAAATATTGCGGTTAAAAGACGTAAAAACAAATACCTATTTAAATTTGTTCTTTTTAACAGTGTGAGAAGCCGACGACCCGATCAGCTTTGATGAAGGGTGTAAGTAAAATTGGATTTATTTATATTAAAATGCTGTTTATTCAAAATGTGCAGACAATATAGGATTGTGTGCTGGATTTTTCATGCGCTAGTTTCTTTTAGAAAATATCGTAGCCTTGGCCTTTTTTATTAACTCGTTACTTTATATAGTCAGTCTCTTCTTTGTGACCACTCTATTTATCATTAGCCTATTACATGATTAAAATTTACGAGCCGGAACGAAGAAAACCATGTTCTGAAATAATAAAACTAAGTTGTTCATGTGTAGGTTAAAGTATCACCCAAATGGAGTTAATTAAAGACATAACTTTAGATTATTCAAAACGCAACACTTTGTTTCTACTTTACTTTCTGCTTTTTTACTTATGTACTTTATACAACTTCACTTTTTACTACTTTACTAGTTCCATTCACGGTACTTGTCCTACTTTGACCATTTGCCTACGGTACTGAAGAATCTATAAATCTAGTGTGTAAACTTTTCTCACTTTTTAGAAAATCTTGTGCGAAGAGACTCTGGTCGACGCTATCAACAATTACGCCTGCACATAGGAGGTTTGTTTTGTGGAACTTCTTAAGTAGTTTTTTTAAAGACTGAATGTTAGAATTACGTTAATTTTTTTTATATTTCAGTGGGGGGGGGGGGGGGAGTCTGGTAATCACCTAGGAGATAATTTAGGTGTGCATGTACACAAATATAGAAATACTCTTTTACGCATACCAGAGGCGTAGCGAGGGGGGACATATATCCCCGGGCGCCGACCTTAGGGGGCGCCAAAATGTGTTTGAAAAATAAATTGAAAGCTTGATGGGGGGGGGGGTGCAAATCAAAATCTTGAGGGGGGTGTAAATAAAGGACTAAGGGGGGGGGGTGGAAATCGAAAGTTTGAGGAGGGGTGCAAATCGAAATCTTGAGGGGGGTGCAAATCGAAAGTTTGAGGAGGGGTGCAAAACGAAATCTTGAGGGGGGTGCAAATCGTAAGTTTGAAGGGGGTGCAAATCGAAAGTTTGTCCCCGGCCGCCGGGAAGGGTCGCTACGCCTCTGACGCATACACATTTACACGAACACTTAGACATACAGGGATACTCATTCGCATGTAAACGCCCACAAGCTTCCAAATATCGTTCAATTAGCAAATGTTATTTTATAATGTGATTGTTTGATATATTACTGCATCACCAGCAACCATGAATTGAACAATTTGAACAAGTTTTGTTTTTTTTAGATTTGCTACCTTTACAGTAAAAGATACACGATGGCCTTTATCTTTTAAAAAAAACTGTTGATTCATGGTAGGAGCGAGAACATATGGTTAATTTCTTAAACATTTTCCTTACAGCAAAAATGGCCAGAATAACTTTTAAAATTCAATTGTTACATTTTTCAGGAGGACTTCGAAAACAGAAACGAAGTTCAAGAAACCAAGTTTCAAATTTTATCTTTTTTTTTTTAACTTTCTGCTATACAATTTAGGTTTCTAGTTCTTTCGGTGTAACACGACTAACCTTGGAACTCCCTTCCTGAGATTTAAAATTGATTTTTGACCATTTGTTAAAAAATAAAAATAAAACTTTTTGACTCAGAGTTGTCTTTTGTTTTATTAACACGTTTTTAACACGTTTTTATTAACTCAGCTTCGCGTGGATGTGTTTGTTGTTAAAATTGACATCGAAAATTAGCCCACTTCTGATTGCTCTATAGATCTGAAATTTGGCAGGCAGGTTACTTTCGCCTAACAATTTCAGATGCAATCATAAAAACTAGCAATTAGAGACCGTAATTAGCTTAATTTAATTACGCCCAAAGGACCATACAATTGAGGACATGATTTCTAAAGATACCGACAAGACTGGAGGCTTGTTGACACAGTTACTTCGGCCCCAATCGATGTGAGCGCGCTGGCCGTGATCGTATAGTGGTTAGTACTTAGCGTTGTGGCCGCGACAACCCAGGTTCGAATCCTGGTCGCTCAAGATTTTTTTAGTCCGTGTATTTATAAACACTTAGTCAAGTCATACTTAATCAAGTCATTAGATAAAGTAGAAAATAAACTATATAAAAAACTTTTTTAAAAACCACGTTTTTTATGTGTAGCAACGGACTAAAAAGGAGAAAATAAAATACTTAAAAAAACTTTTTAAAAAACCACGTTTTTCTTGTGGACTAAAAAGTAGAAAATAACTATTTACATACATTTGATGACTAAAAACGTGGGTCGGGCAGATGGGTCGGGAAATTTGATGGTGAACGTACCCACGTTTTTAGTCATCAAATGTATGTATATAGTTATTTTCTACTTTTTAGTCCACAAGAAAAACGTGGTTTTTTAAAAAGTTTTTTTAAGTATTTTATTATTAACTCAGCTTCGCGTTTGTTTGTTGTTAAAATTGACAACGAAAATTAGCCCACTTCTGATTGCTCTAGAGATCTGAAATTCGGCATGCAGGCTATTTTCGCCTAACAATTTCAGATGCAATCATTAAAACTAGCAATTAGTGACCTAAATTAGCTTAATTAAATTACGCCCCTAGGACCCTAAAATTGAGGACATGATTTCTCAAAAACGCATGTAAATTTATAAAGTACTAATAATATCCCGCACTTTTATACACATTTTATTAGGCGTTCACTTGGTGTGGGACGGAGTGGTCTAGCGGTAAAGAGCTGGACTGCTAACCCGTTAGTCTCGAGTTCGAATCCGAGTTCAAGTCGGTAGACCGTCCCTGAGTCCACCCAACTCTGATGGGTACCTAACTCGGGCAGATTTATGATTAAAGCGAAAAGCACACAACACACGGATTTTTTTAATTTGATGGTGAACGTACCCACGTTTTTTGTCATCAAATGTATGAACAGTCATCACAAGAACCTGCACAGCTCGAGGAAGCACAAAATCTACGAGCAGTCATTGGTAGATCCCCTAGGGTCCGAAGAAAAAATTATTTTCTACTTTTTAGTCCACAAGAAAAACGTGGTTTTTAAAAAAGTTGTTTTTAAGTATTTTATTCCTCACTATGGATATGTATTTGTCAAATGTAAAACTTTAAAACTAAAACTTGTAGGATATGCTAATTCTCACATGTTTATGTATTTGTCAAAATACAACTGAAACCTATAGATATCTATATCTAAATCTATATCTATATCTAAAAGTTAAAAACTAAAAACCTCTTTATCTAAAAGCTTAAAATTAAAACTTCTATATCTAAATGCTTAAAACTAAAACCTATACATTTAAAAGTTTAAAACTAAAACCTCTATATCTAAAAGCTTAAAACTAAATCTCTATATCTAAAAGCTTAAAAATAAAACCTCTATATCTAAAAGCTTTAAAACTAAAACCTCTATATCTAAAAGCTTTAAAACTAAAACCTCTATATCTAAAAGCTTAAAACTAAAACCTCTATATATAAAAGTTTAAAACTAAAGCCTATATAGAGATTTATAGATTATTATTTTTTACTTACTGTTGGAAGATGCATGGTTAAATATTGTATGAAAATGTAGACTGTACTCTGCGCAGAGTTATGAATGAAATAAAAATAAAATTAATATCACTATGATACCTATGTGACAGATGGAGAGAAACAACTCCATTATTTCAAATTATTTCTACATGTTTTAAGATTTCCGAAGATACTAGAGATAATTATTCATTATGTAACGACAACAGAATGTTTGCTTTTTTCTAGAAAAAAAATTAGCAGCTGTTGAGCGATTTTTCAGTAATTGAAGGTGGTTCTTTATTTTGGTGTGAACACGATAACTTGAGTATTGTATCAGATAGGCAGGGGCAGAACTATAGTGCCGCCAGACCCTGCAATGCGGGGGGAGGGGCCCACGCCGTTTAGGGGACAGCCGACCATAAAAAAATTTATAGTTAAAAAATAATAATTTTCTTGCATTTTTGACTTTAGAAATTACTATCTTAATGTAAGATGTCATTAATTACATTCTCCATAACCTACCAAATGTTGAGTAATCTAGAATGATTAATATAAGAAAACATAGTCTATTTTTTACCTCACAGTTGAAAGTTTAAAACTATAATTATCTTACAACCCTCGCTTACCGAGCATAAAGTAGCCTACAGCTAGACTGTATATTATCACCTGGCACATTATTTCACTCAATTTTGTCATTAAAATTGTTTTTAAAAATTCAAATCCATTTAAAACAAACATACAAAATGAAAAGAAAAAAATAAACAAACATTGAAATTTTATTTTGGTATTCTATTCCACGTTTTTTTTTAAATCCATACAGCAACTTTAAAAAATCTTACACACATTTTAAAAAGTAAAAATGAAACAATATTCTAAAAAGACTGGCTCTGTGATCAAATTATGGTACAAAACTACATTAGAACCACTGTTATATTTGGACAAGGATATACTTTGGGTACAGGTAGTTGCTTAACTATTAAATAAGAAATTCTATAAAAACTATTTAGTTTTTACAAACTAAATAATCATTTACTTATACTACTGTTTATAAATTAAATAAAAAAGCATCAAATGTTCAAGCATTAATAAAATAATAATACATATAATTACACCTTTAGTAATACTTTTACACAACTTGAGTTGATTTTTAATAGCCAGTAAGGAAAATACAAACTAAATCTTCACTTGTCTAACAAATTTATTAAATTAAACAATAATTAATTAGACCAGCTCCATGAATGATGAATTCCAGTTTCTATAAATATACTTTGGTAAAGCCATGGTCAAGATTATTTCCTGTTTCTAAGGAATAAAGCATTTTTCTTGTATAACAGTCTGATATAATTAAAAGCTGCAAGTATACAAATTTGTACAAGTAGTGAATTTAGCCGTAAATTACTTATAACAGAAATATTGATTAATAAACATCTGTCTTGTGAAAGTATTGCCAGAAAATTAAAACATTTAGCCAACATGTACCTCACTTTAATGCAGTAACATCTAAGTTTAAAAAAAAAAATCTCAACTGTTTTAGTTTAAATATCTATGTATATTCTTCTAATACTGTACACATAAAACTTTTTTTTTTAAAAACAACGAAAAAGCAATGTACATTTTTTTGATATCCAACTTAGGCACACAACAGCTAAACAAGATCACACTTTGTTTAGCATTAAGAGAGCTACATGGTCTTAGGCAGGAGTTATGCTACAAATCTAGGCAGGAGTTTGGCTATATAACGAAGCAGGGATTATGCTAGACTCCAGCGGGCTATGATATATCACAATACAGCCACACTGAAATGGTTATTGATCTCATCACAAAGTATTCACCACACCAACCAGTGGAACTAGTGATGCAACAAAATATGTAACAACTTATTGTGCAGCTTTACAAAAGTAGAAATTTGCTGTAACGAGGAGAACATGATATACATTTACTCCAAGCATATTTCAGTGATCATACAGTTTTCTAATAACATATGTAAAATTTTATCAGATTGTATTTGAGTAAAGGTTTTTCCCTAGTAGTTCACATGCTGTGTGTAGTTTAAGGGAATGTTTACTGAATAGTAAGTAAACTAGTGACAAATCAAAACATGAAAATGAAAAAATCTACCTTTTGTCAAAGATCACTTAATTAAGCAATATGCTAAAATTAATCATTTTATCTCAATTTCACATTTGTAAGTGTTCTAAAATTAAATTAGCAGTTTGTTGTTTATTTTAATTTGTTTTTTTTTTCAATTATTTGCAATATATTTTCAATAATGGTTAATTTTTTTTAAAGATATTTTACAATGCTTTTTTTCTAGATATATTACAATAATTTTTTGTTTGTAATGCTGTCATTTTGATTGAAGTGAAAAGAGACACAAGTTCTAGCTACAGGGTTTGAAGGAGATTCTGTGCCAACACACTGGAATACAGGAAGTTTACATACAAAGGATGGGAACATTTCTAAATACGTCTTGCTCATATTAAACAGAATGCAATACTAAGCAAGATTTTGTAATGCAATGTATACACATTCATCACAAATTTAAAAAAAAAACCATTAAGACATCAATTTTAACATTGATAAGTTACTATAGTTAGAGCGTACATCTTAGGTCCTACTAAAACAAAGTTGAGATTGTATTTTTTTTTTACATCAACTCAATCTAGAATTCATCTACAAACTAGTTTTTAGCATAATGGAACATCCAGCATTTAGCATTACATTTCAACCAAACTTTTATTTTTTTACATTTTGGAGAAAAATCACATGCACTTGGTACTTAAGTTTTAAATCAAATTTTAGATCTTTCAAGGACTTAATTTTCTTATTCTAAGCTATTTGCTAATAAATATGGTAGAGGTATTTAAAAAATGCATGTTTTTACATAACCCATACACATAAATAAAAGTCATTTATAAAGAAAATCTACAATAAATAGCTATCTAGAAGTTTAACCTTCAACTTTCTATTGAGTGATTTGTTCAGATTAAAGTATGTGTTCCCCTTCTTCATCGTCCTCATCCTCGTCAATATTCTTCATCTCTGCCTCCATCTCGTAGCTGACCACTGAGTGCTTGGCTAAGATTCTCAACAAGGGTCGAAGTTTAAGCCACCACTGCTCCTTGGGGATACGTTTACTGGAAGAGAGAAGTTTATACAACTGTAGGTTAGACACAATAAGTTTAAATGTTTACTGGAAGAGAGAAGTTTATACAACTGTATGTTAGACACAATAAGTTTAAATGTTTACTGGAAGAGAGAAGTTTATACAACTGTAGGTTAGACACAATAAGTTAAAATGTTTACTGGAAGAGAGAAGTTTATACAACTGTAGGTTAGACACAATAAGTTAAAATGTTTACTGGAAGAGAGAAGTTTATACAACTGTAGGTTAGACACAATAAGTTCAAATGTTTACTGGAAGAGAGAAGTTTATACAACTGTAGGTTAGACACAATAAGTTTAAATGTTTACTGGAAGAGAGAAGTTTATACAACTGTAGGTTAGACACAATAAGTTAAAATGTTTACTGGAAGAGAGAAGTTTATACAACTAGAGGTTAGACACAATAAGTTTAAATGTTTACTGGAAGAGAGAAGTTTATACAACTAGAGGTTAGACACAATAAGTTTTTTACTGGAAGAGAGAAGTTTATACAACTGTAAGTTAGACACAATAAGTTTAAATGTTTACTGGAAGAGAGAAGTTTATACAACTGGAGGTTAGACACAATAAGTTTAAATGTTTACTGGAAGAGAGAAGTTTATACAACTAGAGGTTAGACACAATAAGTTTTTTACTGGAAGAGAGAAGTTTATACAACTGTAAGTTAGACACAATAAGTTTAAATGTTTACTGGAAGAGAGAAGTTTATGCAACTGTAGGTTAGACACAATAAGTTTAAATGTTTACTGGAAGAGAGAAGTTTATGCAACTGTAGGTTAGACACAATAAGTTTAAATGTTTACTGGAAGAGAGAAGTTTATAAAACTGTAGGTTAGACACAATAAGTTTAAATGTTTACTGGAAGAGAGAAATTTATACAACTGTAGGTTAGACACAATAAGTTCAAATGTTTACTGGAAGAGAGAAGTTTATAAAACTGTAGGTTAGACACAATAAGTTTAAATGTTTACTGGAAGAGAGAAGTTTATAAAACTGTAGGTTAGACACAATAAGTTTAAATGTTTACTGGAAGAGAGAAGTTTATAAAACTGTAGGTTAGACACAATAAGTTTAAATGTTTACTGGAAGAGAGAAGTTTATACAACTGTAGGTTAGACACAATAAGTTTAAATGTTTACTGGAAGAGAGAAGTTTAAACAACTTTAGGTTAGACACAATAAGTTCAAATGTTTACTGGAAGAGAGAAGTTTATACAACTGGAGGTTAGACACAATAAGTTTAAATGTTTACTGGAAGAGAGAAGTTTATACAACTGTAGGTTAGACACAATAAGTTAAAATGTTTACTGGAAGAGAGAAGTTTATACAACTGTAGGGTTAGACACAATAAGTTTAAATGTTTACTAGAAAAGAGAAGTTTATACAACAGTATATTGTTAAACACAATAAGTTTAAATGTTTACTAGTAGACAGAAGTTTATACTACTGTAGGTTAGACACAATCATTCCCTGTTACATCTAGTGAGTGAATATAATAGTTTATAATGTAGGGAGCAGCTGAAGTAGAGTTCATCAGTTTTAGTGACCTCAGTACATTAAGGGATAAGGTGGTAAGCACTATGCCCAGTCACCTTTACTTTCCCTAACATGAGTCAGGTACTTATCAGAGCTTGGTTGACTCAGAACTTTCTATGGACAAGAACCCAGGATTTGAACTCGAGAGTTTTGGGTTAGCAATCAGTTTCTCTACCATCCGACCACTCCTCCCTTCAGCCTTAGAAAAAACTTACTCAAAGTCAGTGTACTCTGCCAGCTCCTCCACTGGTGTAAAGGTTAAATGTCTCTTCAACATGCCAAGTAGGACGACTGTATCTGCATTGCCAGTCCGTACATTACCTAAAAAACAGCATTTCTTTAAAGTTCGTAAATTTAAAATGTGAAAATAAGCCAAAAAGTGTGAAAATTGTTACAATAATTTATTAAATTTTTACAATGTTTATTTTTTTGAAGTAATCAGTAAACTTTACCATACAGTATGCATGTTAAAAATAGTACAAATGGAGTCAGTAAACTATGTGTTACACAGGTTGAGGTAAAACTAAATTATTCAGTGTCAGTAAACTTAACATTTTAACCATTGAAGTCAGTAAACTTAACTTACACAGGTAAAACAAAATATTACCTTTGGAGTCAGTAAACTTCACTTACACAGGTAAAACAAAATATTACTTTTGCAGTCAGTAAACTTCTCTTACACAGGTAATATATAAATATTTCCTTTGGAGTCAGTGAACTTCACTTACACAGGTAAAATAAAATATTACCTTTGGGAGTCAGTGAACTTCACTTACACAGGTAAAATAAAATATTACCTTTGGGAGTCAGTGAACTTCACTTACACAGGTAAAATAAAATATTACCTTTGGGAGTCAGTGAACTTCACTTACACAGGTAAAATAAAATATTACCTTTGGGGAGTCAGTGAACTTCACTTACACAGGTAAAATAAAATATTACCTTTGGGGAGTCAGTGAACTTCACTTACAAAGGTAAAATAAAATATTACCTTTGGGAGTCAGTGAACTTCACTTACACAGGTAAAATAAAATATTACCTTTGGGGAGTCAGTGAACTTCACTTACACAGGTAAAATAAAATATTACCTTTGGAGTCAGTAAACTTCACTTACACAGGTAAAATAAAATATTACCTTTGGGAGTCAGTGAACTTCACTTACACAGGTAAAATAAAATATTACCTTTGGAGTCAGTAAACTTCACTTACACAGGTAAAATAAAATATTACCTTTGGGAGTCAGTGAACTTCACTTACACAGGTAAAATAAAATATTACCTTTGGAGTCAGTAAACTTCTCCACCATTTCAGACAGCCACTCCACACCTTTGGCAGCCATTTTGGTGCCGTAGTTCCTGTCAAATGGAGATGGGTAGCCTCCCTGTTGCATGTGACCCAGGACATTCATGCGCGTGGTGAAGACTGGGCTGCCCTCCTCAGAGAACAGGCGGTTCACAAAATCTGTTGTGTAGTTCTCATTGGCTAGCTCATTCCTGAATAAACAAAGAATAAATTATGATACGTAAAGCTACAAAAATATCTGTGTAGTTCTCTTTGGCTATAGCTCATTCCTGAATAAACAAAGAAAAAAATTTACATATGTAAAGCGTCAAAGAAAGAAAAAAAATTTCTGTTGCATAGTTCTCATTGGCTAGTCTTCCATGAAGAAACGACTAAAAATTAAAATAAGTGAACTGATAAAATAAAAAAATCAATTACCATAAGTCAACATAATACATAACATTTGTGAAAATAATACTTGTTTTTTTTATAATCTACAAAAATGCATAAAAAAGCTTTATCAACTACAGATAATTAAAATAATAATGACTAAGAAATATCCAATACTGACTGACAATGAATTTGAAAACATTTATTTTGCCATTCAAATCTTTTGTTTAATTGCAATTTATGGAAATAAATTTAAAAAATTAAACCAAAACACAATTCTTTACCTGAGGATCAAACCACGCTGAACGCCAGCATTCTGGATTTTATCTCTCAAGTGATCTACATCTTGCTGGGGAAAAAAACAGAGTTGGATGTATAATAATGCTATCTTAATTGTTTTTTTAACAAATTGAAGTTAGATATAAATAACTAAAGTTGTACTGTAGATTACAATGTATATAAAAACATGAAAGTTTGTTGTGAGGTAGAATCAATTTTTAACTGCTTACTTTCAGATCAAGAACATTGAATTTTTCTTCATAGATATAAGCAGCGTCTGCCCCACTGGCAAGTCCAGCAAGAGTGGCCAGGTAACCACAGTAGCCTCCCATTGTCTCAGCAATAAAGACACGCCTCTTGGTACCAGTAGCAGACTGCTTGATCCTGTCACAAATCTGGTGGAGGTGGTAACTAATTAGTTCACCCAGTTAATAATTTGTCTCCATAAAGTAATTTTGTATAGAACTATAATATTTTTTTTAGACATTTTCTTTTATTTACTTGATTTAACTTTATTTATAACAAACTATGTATCTGTTTCAAAAAGAATTTGTATCAGATTTAGCTTTCTTATGTTTTAATAGCCATCAAAAGTTTCAAATAGACAATATTTTATATTTATAGACAACACAGAACATTTTTTTTCAATGACTGAAAAACATAAGGTACCAATTAGAGCTAGAATCTCAGCACAATGAAGTTAAAGCCTGACCTATGAAATAAAGACAGAACTTAATTCATCATTGTTATTCCCCATTTGTGCCCAATACACATGGGGCAGATGAAGTAGAGTTCCTCTGTCTCAATGACTATACCCAGACAGCATAGTTTCCTTAACATAAATCGTGTAAGCTCTGCAGACTCAGTGATGTCTTACAGACGCCTAGGGTGCAAACTCAAAACATTTGAGTTAGCAGTGGTAAGGTCTACTATTCAACCATGCTATACAGCAAAACCTATTTAGCAGTTATGAATTTTACTATAAGCTCTAAATTTAACAGCCGCTGTTAGTAATTACTTAAACTTAATTGTAAGTAGCATTTAGAAATGAAATTTTAAAAAAAAAACTGAATGGTGTAAAAAAACATAACATACGTCAGTGATCTCGTTTAGTGCCGTGTCAGCACCCAGGGAGAAGTCTGACCCAGGGATGTTGTTGCTGATGGTGCAGGGGATGACCACGATGGGGATACACAGGGAGGCAAACATTTCCCTGGCCTCGGATAACTGGTACGCACTGTGGAAGGCCTGGGGAGGTAGAACAGAGGTAAGTTACCTACAAGCACAGAATAAAATGATGACACACAGAGGCAAAAATTCAGCTGAAAACTGATGGTATCCCCAGCTACATGTCTGCTGCAATCTGTTAACAAGTTAATTGTCTGATAGAATATGTAGAAGGTAAGGGAGGTGTGTACACTTGTCCACAACAACTGAATATAATGAAAACATTATTTTAAACAGTTCCTCACTTAATATTCACTGTTACTTCAATTTTTCATATTGTTTTAAATTTGAATTTTCAACATATTTAAATTTAGGAAGGATTTTAGTTTTATTTAATTAAAAATTTTGTTTTCTGTATCAATTGTTTATAAGGATAATTTTAAGGTTTTATGCTGTTTCAATAAACATGATTTTTTTTTACATTTATTTTTAGGAAGTTTTTATAGGTATAAATACATCTAAACATTTACGAGCAGAAACACATACCATCTATAGGTATTACTTACCTCAAATCCACCAACAATCATAAGTCCATCAATCTTGAACTCTGCAAACTTCAAGGCAATCTTGCCGACACCAACGTCATTAGCAAGTTGTCTGGAAGTTAAAATATCAAAAGTTTACATTAGTCAACATCATTAGTATCACTTGGACAGGTATCACCCAGTGTGACATTGTTTTAGCAGTAAATTATGTAATTTTTTATTTGGTGTCACCCCCTACATGGCGTCACCTAGTGCGACCATTCCCCCAACCCCACCTTGTGACACTATTGGGTAATAAACTGAGGTATAAATCTCATTACTAAATGATAAAAATGATTAAGAAATTGTAGTTTTCTATTATACTGTAGGTAACAGTAACAAATCAAAATGTTCTGTGTAATAAATAAAATATGCATAAAAACATTTATAATAATAAGCATTTAAATGCACTAAAATATATAATTGAATTACATTTCTTTCTTTATATATATAAAGGTAAAATTATTAGTCTCTAAAAATGTGTTTAAGAGATTTAATGAGCTAAAAACGTAAAAAAAAAAAATTTTGAACAAAAAAGTAACTCACTTTTTGGTACCTAAGAAGGAGCCACCTTTCCCAGCCCAGCCCTGCACCTCTGTCCAGGTCATTGGCACCACCTCCCCTTTGACCAGTCCATCAAAGCTGTCGTGAATGCCCAGCACTCTGAAGCCTTTGGTCAAACTGATACGTACAAAAGATCGTACGGCTGCGTTCATGCCGCACGCTGGAGCTCCAATGTTCATAACAGCCAAGTTACGATGGGACTGAACAGAACAAAGAAAAAAAAACAGCCAATTAAATAAAAGTTATTTTAAAAATTGAAAAATTAAACAATGAAAGTGAATAGACTAACAGAATTGAAGAAACAATAGTAACCAATAACCTTTAAAAATTGTTTGCAACCATTTTTTAGCATAATAAGTGGGGTTAATTTAAATTTAAGTTTAAATTTATTTTTTACTTAACTAATACTAAACATTTGAATTAATATAATCTAAAGCTAGTTTTTAACATAAAATGAATAACAATACTATCTATTACATCTATTAAGCCCAAAGGTAAATTGGTAAATTTTCAAATAGCTGCATTACCCAACACTGAACCAGCAAGAAAAGAAATGAACAATCATCTCACTATTTGTTATACAATAACTTGTTTCTTTCATTCATGCAATTGTTTGAAACAATGATAAATATCCCTGCGTGTTTATTACACATGTAAAAATGTGTTGTATGTTTTAAATATAAAGAACAACCACTGACAAAAAGGGAAATGTATTTGAATAGTTACAGCTTAAACCAGGAAAAAAAATGTATTTATAACAGCTAAAAACATTGATCCACAAAAAATAGGTAAAAATGTTTATCAACAAAACAAAGGTAAAAAAATTTAATCCATCTAAATGGGGTAAATTTTGTATCCAGATAAAACAGGTAAAAATGTTAATTTTGATAACAAACATACAAATTAAACCAAAGACAGTCATTCAAATAAAATAACGGCAATAGTTCAGCTCTCAATGGCAAAAAATAAAAAAATAAAGTCAATGAAGCATTCTTTCATTCAACTGTATACTTGACTTGTAAAAAACAAAAAATACCAGCACCTGGATTTATGCTTTGGTTTACACAACATTAAGACATATAAAGCAGGAATGTGATCTTTACATTTTATGGAGATTGGGTTGTTAGTTTAGTAGCTGAACAGATCCAAAACTTTAAAATATTTTTTCTAAAAAGAAAAAGGAATGCACCTCACATACATAACGTAATGTGTAAGATTAAAATTAAAATTTTAATACTTCAGTAGTTTATGCAAATATTTTAAAAAGTGTTGATATATTTAAGTTTATTTTGTTTTTTTAAACTCTTTAAGAGTTGATAAGGATGTGATTTTTATAATTCAGTAAACCAATTCTTTTATAAATTGTAAGGTTATTTGAGAAATTTAGTACTTAATTTTAATTTCCTATAAACAAGGCAGTTTGAAAAACAGTATTTTTTTTTAAAACTGGATTATATTTGAAGCTGTGCAATTCAAAATTTTTGGGTAAAAACTTGAGCCAGAAGAAATAATACAAAAATTATTTTTAAAATACTTATTTTTAATAAATGATCTGCATGGAAGGAATGTGATTGCCTGCCTACAGTGGGCTTTTCCACAATAAAAAAAGATGAAAAAAATGTGCAGCCTATTTGTTAAGCAAAGACGTTTTTTTTTTTTATATAACCAGAAATGTAAGCAACCATGAGATAAACCCTACCCAGATGATGATATCATTTTATCCAGATATTAGAGTGTTTAGCAGCAAGCAGCATCTTTTGTAAGGATTTATCATGATCTTAGATTGTTATACCTCAACCCTGTCAAACTTTTTGTCATTGTCTCTAATTGTTATACCTCAACCCTGTCAACCTTTTAATTCATTGTCTCTAATTGTTATAACTCAACCGTGTCAAAGTTATTGTTATAGCTGATATGAACAGTACACTTGTGTTGAAAATAACTTCATATTTATACGAATACTTTAGACCCATAGTACAGGCCATTAACTATCAGAAAAATATCAACTTTTTTATCAGTAAAAATACAATTTTGCTACAAGTTTGCTTAATTGATATTATGTGTGAATAGTTCTACCAATAACAGAAAACTGAATGTTTGCCTACCTGTCAGATGTGTGAATAGTTTCAAAAACTAATAAAACAATGTTTGTCTTGTGTTAAGTATATTTCAATAGTTTACACCATTACCTAAAAGCCCTTTTCTATGTAATATTTGCTGACAGTCTATCCAACACAACATCCAGCGTGTATTTAACTTTCCTCAAGTTTCCAGATTTATCAATCAAATTGTTCCAAAACTAACAATTGAACATTATTGATTATAAAAATTTTAAACAAAATAAAATAACACTGAAAAAACCTCATACCCAAAGTATTTAAACTTTTAATCCAGCAACCGATGCCTAACAAAATAAAATAACACACTGAAAAAACCCTCATAACCAAAGTATTTAAACTTGTAATCCAGCAACCGATGCCTACTGATATATATGTACTAGTTCACCATTGTAAACTGGCCATCAAAGCATAAAATATGGGGTTACAGTTCAAGGAAATATTGTCGATCCAAGTTCAATTTTTAAGATGCAAAACTTTTGAAGTGCCTGACTATACATTTAAATATATATTTATATAAAATGGAACTAAAAATTTCATAGAAAATCACATTTTACAATCAAAATGCAAAAGAAGAAAAAATCTTGTATTTCAGTAGAATGTGTAAATAAGTATTTGGTCTGATAAAGCCAATCTGGCAAGTGTGCTGCAAGCAGAGAGGGAAGGAAATAAAATGGCTTCATTTCTGAGCTAACATAGAGCTGTTTGGTAATATAAGTAGGCACATTTATATGGCTGCCCTAGGCTCTTTGATATCTTTTTATATTCTTTAAATCGCATTTGGTCTTTATGTTTTATTAACCTTGAAATATTTTTATGTAATAATATCTTTTTCTAAATTTTTTATATATAGCTATTAGTCTATTTCATTGAAACAGCTTTTTAACATTTTTTTAATATATTGTTTTAAACTATTTATGTTCCATAAAATAATAATCTAATACTAAATAAGCTGAATTTTTTTAGTAAACATATTTTAAATAAACTTCTGTTAATTATGTTTAATACAACAATTTTTAGTAGAACTAAAAATGTATCTATATTCTGATGCCTCAGATGATAAACATGAACTTTAAAAACTGAAGAGCTAGTGATGTCAAAGAGCCCTTTATGATACATCAGAAAATGCCAACACTTACTCTGTGGTCTGTAAAGGGAAAACATTTGGGATCCTGAAAAGACTTTCTGACTTTAACTGAGTTTAAACACCATGTCACAAGTGTTAACACAATTATTTAGAGTTTAAACACCATTTCAATATTGTTAACAAAACTATATTTAGTTTAACCACTTTTCCACAATTGTTAACATAGTGAATTTAGGTTTAACATGAATATCCAAATTATTGAAAAGTATAGTGAGTATAAATAGAACATAACAGTTTGTCAAGAACAATATTATATCTCAGTATATAGAATAATAAATTATTTCATAAACTGGAATATATATATATATATATTATATATATATATATATATATATATATATATATATAGATATAATATATATATAATATATAGTGTGTATATATATATATATGTGTGTATATATATATATATGTGTGTATATATATATATATGTGTGTATATATATATATATATGTGTGTATATATATATATATATATGTGTATATATATATATATATATGTGTATATATATATATTATATATGTATATATATGTATATATATATATGTATATATATATATATATGTATATATATATGTATATATATGTATGTATATATATATATATGTGTATATATA